TATCATGATTCGATATACAATGTGAAATGCTTACATTGAACTGATTAACACGACCATCACCTCGCTTACTTATTCACTGTGGTAAGACATTTATACTCTTTTCTTAATAGTTTTGAAATGTACCATTGTGTCATGCACATTAGGTGAGGTCCCCCCAAATACCCTCCATCCTCCTGCCTTCCCCCTCCCCTCCCCTCTCTCTCCTCTTCCCTCCTACTTTCTGGACTATAGTTATGTTTACTATTCATATGGATGTGTAGGCAATTATATATTGATTTCATAGTAGTATTGAGTACATTGGATATTTTTTTTCTATTCTGAAGATACTTTACTAAGAAGAATATGTTCCAACTCTATTTAGGTAAACATAAAAGATGTGAAGTCTCCATCTTTTTATGGCTGCATAGTATTCCACAGTGTACATATACCACAATTTGTCCACATGGGTTGATGGGCACTTGGGCTGTTTCCATGTCTTGGCTATTATGAATAGGGCTGCAATAAACATTCTGGTGTGAATACTTTTATTGTAAAATGATTTTTGATTCTCTGGGTATATACCTAGTAGAGGAATTGCAGGATCCAATGGTAGGTCTACTATTAGTTCCTTGAGTATTCTCTAAACTTCTTTTCAAACAGGTCATATTAGCTTGTATTCCCACCAGCACCTGGCCATTTTTAGAGACAAAGTCTCACTCTTGCTCAGGCTGGTCTTGAACTCCTGAGCTCAGGCAGTCCACCCACCTGTGCCTCCCAGAGTGCTAGGATTGCAGACATAAGCCACTGAGCCCAGCCAACATAATTATTGTTTACTTTGAATCTTCTTAAACAAACTGTGGTCAGCTGTAGTCCAAGATTTGCTTCTTTAAGGGAATATCATGGAAAGAATCAAAATACTTTTTATGACTTTTTGTTTAATACATTGCTGATTCTCTTCCTTTGTTTTCTATAGCCATCACAAGTATTAAATAAAATAACTAAGTTTATCTGATTTTTCCAAGATTGATAAATCCTTCCAGCCCAACCTTATTCTTTGCTACTAAAGCTGCAAACAGGGACTATCACAAGAAGACAGAGGTGTGAAATGGTAAGGATCTATTTTAAGAGATGGACTAAGTCCAAACTCCACATTTCCCCTTGGAGGCCTTTGTTTCCCAGCCCCCTTAAATTGACAGACAGGTGATGGGTCCTCTTGTCATCTTTCATCTCAACTTCCCCACCCCCTCTGGACACTGACTTGCTAGCAGTTGAAGTGATATACTGACTTGGCAGCTGCTTAGGACATATGTGGACACACACACACACACACACACACTCCTTCCTCCACCTTAACCTCTTAATTTAAAGGGACTGCAACCATTACAGCCTGGAGATGGGTCTTACTCAAAGATCTCCCAGGACAAACAAGCCCCGCTATTTTTGGACTGTAGTTGTCATTGTTGTTTGGCGGGCCTGGGCTGAATTTGAACCCGCCAGCTCCGGTGTATGTGGCTGGCACCCTAGCCGCTTGAGCTACAGGCGCTGAGCTGGAACATTTTATTCTTAGTAAAGCATCACAAGAATGGAGAAGCAAGAATCCAGTGTATTCAATTCTAATATGAAGGGAGTAGATGAGCTAAAACAGGGGTGGGATAAGGAAATGAGAGAGCCGGGAGAGAGGAGGAGGAAGGGGCTGGGGGCGGGGGTCACAGTGTATGGCAGACCTCTTGGGGACAGGACACAATTATAAGAGGGACTTTACCTAACAAATGCAATCAGTATAACCTAATTCTTTGTACCCTAGATGAATCCCAAACAATAAACTATTTTATAAATAAATAAATAATTAAAGGAAAGCGCTTAGATTTATGGCCATAATATGCCCTGTATCTTACTTTAAAAGCCTTTTAACTGAAGAAGAAAACGGACATCCAGGATGTTAAAGGAGGCAAACGGTTCTCCTGACACCACCCCTACATTTTTTTCCCAAAACTCTTTAGCAGTGTTTTAAAACTCTAATAATTACCTTATGTTTTGCCGTTCTTGATCAACAAATCTTATTTGGGACATCAGCATTGTTTGGTGAACTTTAATTTCTTCAGTTCTTTCTGCCATAGCTGTGCATAACTGCTGTTTTTGTTTTTCCAGGGAGAGAACTTCTTCTGCTTTACTGTAAAGCATTTCGCGAACACGCTTGACTTCAAGTTTCAGAAGATTGTCCTCTATCATCAAATCCTATCAACA